TTTATCATAATGTACTCAGGCTAAACTAAAGCCCATTTCGAATTTGCTGGCTTTGACAAAAAAAATATAGAGCCTAGGACTGTTTCCATGGAAATGCTTGTATGGCATGAAAATACCGACCAAATAAGAACCAATCAGAACACTCCCATTCACTTCAGGACTACCTTTCCATATAATAATCATCATTATTGCACCAAGGAATTGAAAAATTTCCTGTAGAGTTATATCTACAGCTGTAGACTAATAATGCCCGTAGATATGATTTAAAGTGACTTGAGTTCAAATACCTGCAGTATTCCACATCATTTTTGATTCCAAATCATCCCACTCATTGTTTTCTGGGTCAACCAGCTTCTTAATAACCACCTCATATCCCTTGAAATCAGAGGCACTGTGCAACAAACCAACAGTTATGCTTTCTGTAGCATCATCTATAGACTCTAGAGTTGGTGGGCCATCATGAGATAGTTCAATCACATTGCTCACTAAGAGCTCATTACTGCCTATGGGAGGAGAGAGGGACTTAGGACTCCACAAGGAACAAGAGATCCACAAGGGTTCTTCCACAAATCTTGGGGGAAAGGTGACAAATGCACCAGCCTCTGGCAGGTTCCATGTGTCTCCCTTGTCTGTTATCTCATCTCTAAGGAGCAAATAGACATTTAGAGCATTAGCATTTAGTATTCTTTGTTCCCAACCCTTAGACTTTCTCGACTCACTCCCTTGAAAGGTCTGTGAGAGCCCAGCAAGACAAGAAAAATCCCACAGAAAAATCATTGACAGAAAAATTAATTACCTCCTAACCACAGTCCTTTTGCTGTCTCTAGGGTTTGGCTTTGCATCTTCTTTATCTGATGACTCCACTTCAAATTCTTCCTCCTCCTCTGCATTGTCTCCATTTTTTAGTTTGGAATCAGGCACTTTTTCCCCCTCAGAGGCTAAAAAAATATTCATTTTCATGAAAAAAAGAGACATTTCAAAAGTTACAGTCCCTTTCTAAAATTGCCTTCTACAAATACTAATGAAGCTAAGCTTGACATCAATAACATACTTGCTTTCATCAGCTAGCTCAGTTCATTTTTGCGGTTCATCCTTTATCCTTTTTTTTCCACAATTCCAAGTAAGTAAATGCAACCGTGTATTTCCCATGGAGATTGAAAATAGCTGTTGCTAGGAAGGCACAGTATTACAGGNACATAAATACATATATATCTTATTAACCAAGCGTGAGGGCCTTACTGGGAGAATATTGGCCTGAGGTCTTGACAGTATGGACCGAGCGCAGTGAGGTCCATACAAAAAAGACCGAGGGCTGATATTCTTCTGGTACGGTCTCGAGCAAGCTTGGTTAATAAGAGATTTACTATACAACTGAAGTTCAAAGGGACACATGTGCGGTATCATTCAGGACCATTTGGGACAGAGCCCGGTCCAATACTGAGAGAATATTGAGCGGCGATAGAGCATTTTGATTGGTTGATTTTAGTTATTGGCCCTCTGACTGCGCGAGTTATGTAATAAAAAAGGTTAATCCTAGCTAGGATATGCTTTTCACTTCTTCCTATTGCCTTTGCCAATAAGCCAACAATCTCTCTTGGTATTCTTCATGACTGTTCTGTCTCCTTGTAAAGTTCTTCTACCTTAGTCTCTTCAGAGCCAATCTCGATCTCTTGCTCAGAGTCTATCTCAATTTCCTCGTCTTCCTCTTCACTATCCTTCTCCTCTTCCTTTGGTTTGGGAGTAGTCTGTGTGGCTATAGACAAAAAAAAAAGAGGAAAAGAGGAAAAGATGCCATAATTACAACTCTGTGCATTGTAACAAGAAGTAGAGATCATTGGAAACCACGAACCACTGTAGGATTATCTTTTGTGTCTTTGAGTTTAAGAAATTCAAATTCTCTACAATGTTAGTACCTCTTGGTCTTAATACAGCTCCCAGGTGTTTCCCAGTTCCAATAAGTGCCTAAAGAAACAAAATACAACAGTTGAAGAGATAAACTATCTGGTTTAATGTTTACTTTCATTCATAAACAAGGTGTGACCCTACCTGTAATGCATTTTTGTAAAGTTTCTCACTCGTGTCATCTCTGATGGACGATGCCAACTCCTTGAGTTTACGGAGAAGCTTTTTCATTTCAGGGTCCTTCATCTCAGCATGCTTCATCTCCCATATTTCTTCATAAAAGCTCAATGCCTCTTGTCCATATCTTCTGTACATGTTTACTTCCTTAAGTTCTTGGCATAGATTAAGAACTCCATCGATTATTGTCTCCCTTTCAACTGCAATCTTCTTCGTCTTTTCCTTGCTTTTCCCTTCTTCCCACTGAGTTTGCCAACAAGCCAACAATCTCTGTCGGAATTCTAAGATCGATCCTTTTTGTCTTGTCTCCTTGTAGAGTTTTTCAACCTTTCCCTTCAATGATGCTTTGTCCAGCCCGTCCTTTTTGTTACCAAGGAAACCAGCTTTCAACAGACTCATTTCGTACAAAGCCAACTTGTCCTTTTTGTATTTCACAAGCTTGTCGCGGTCATGAAGCTGAGAGTAGAGCTTCACTAACTCGTCCAAGAGATTATCTCGTTCCTTCAGCATGACACAGAGAGCATCACTATCAGATTCCAATTCAAACTTCTCTTCAAACTCTTTCTCGCTGGCATTGTTCATCTCCTCATAGAACCAAAGCTGTTGCCTTCTTGCTTCATCTTTGTCTTTCTTGTCATCTGCGAAGTCCTTTAAGGCATCAATGATGTCTTTGTTAAACTTATTGAAAGAGAACTGTGGAGAATCTCTCTGTTCTTCCCAGAAATGTTGACAAAACTCAAAGACCTCTTTTCTAAATGATTTCTTCAGTCTTCTAGTGATTGTATAATCATACATGTCTTCCACACCTTTGATAACCATTCGCCACACCTCACTCTGGTTTCCTACACCCAGTGTCTTTTCCATCTCCCATGCTTCAAGAAACCGATGCAAAGCTTCTCTTCGATGTCCAAGATTGGCCTGAAGGACCCCTCGTTGAAAAATGCTACGCACAGTCTGTGGGTGATTTCCAAGAAGCTTCTTCCTTATGCTGTAAGCCCTCTCGGAAGGTTCAATTGCATCTTTATATTTCTCTAGAAACATGAGTGCATTAGCAAGGTTTCTGCAAAAGAGTGCCTCGTCCTCGTAACCTAAAAGTTTAAGTTCCTTCAGCAGATCTAGTGCATCTTTGTAACATTGAACTGCCTTTTCATAATCTTTGAGGCCTTCATATGCAGTTCCAATCTGATTCTTGTACATTGGCATGTCAAAGTGATTCTCAGAGCCAGCTAATTTCTCTTGCATCTTAAAGGCTTTTTCATAGAACTCAAGAGCTTTGCTGGGCTGATCCAAAGCATAAAAGGTATTTCCAATAGCATTGTAGCACCTTGCAATATCAGTATGCTCCTTCAGAAGTGGTTCAGAGAAAGTTAAGGACAACTCCAGAGTTGCCAGTGCTTTCTTGTGGTCTCTGTTTCTCCAAAGTATTTCGCCTTCTGTCTGCAAATAAAACCCCTTAGCAAGCATAAAAGATTCACTAGTTTGATCTTCAACTTTCTCCAGTGAATTCAGAGCTTCCCTCAACATTTCAAATCCTCTCTCAGTTCCATCAACATCTGCAACTTGCTTGGCTTCCCAGGACTTCAACTGCGCTCTGCCAAGGGAACCTATATAAAGATGGAGAATCAAAAGTAATGAACACATCGTAATCACAGCTGACATGAACTGTACTCAGTGTCTGAAAATAACAAAACATAAATTATTACATGTGATATTACTTAAAATTCTTAGTGCGCAGGATGCCCAAGACTGGTTTTAAATTAGACCATTTGTCTGTTGTTGAGCTCAAGCTGATATATTCATTAAGGTGCCTGTCATAGCATTGATCTGCAGATATTATAAATAGGCATATCTTATTAGACATTTTGTTGTGTGGTATTGCTGAGTATTTTTACGAGTTATATCGTATTTTGACGAGCCTGTGGGGCAAGTCAAAATACAAGTAATGAATAAAAATACTCAGGAATACAGTACACCAAAACATCTAGTTAGTTATTTTTTGTCCAACATGCCAAACTGTCATTTCAGTGCGGGCAAATTTCATGGATATTTATTTATGGGGAGTGCGAGGCAGAACAGAACTGGCCCAACGTCATGTCACTGTTTCTATTTTCTTCAATAAATGGCGAAATTTCATTGTTGTTTAACTGCTTTTCTTTGTTCCATTTATCTCATAAACTAGGATCAATATTCGCCAGCTATACCGACTCTTTGTCATCAGAAAAATAATTTAAAATATCCACCGTTTTTGTTTTGTGACTTTAATCCAAATTGTTGCTTGCATGATACAAGAAAACCTGTCTTAAACCAGTTCTCTGGAGTACAAATACCACAAGATATTTATACTCATCCTGGGTGTTATTTGTATTCTATGAGGTATAGTTGGATAACAAACTGTATTATGTTTCAGTTTTTAGGCACTGCAGCAAAAAAATTGGGCCCATTGTACCTGCTCAAGAGTGCCTGTTTTGATGCCTAGCAAACAAGTTGGGGGAGCCCCCAACTTTTGGACAATGTTGACAATGAAGTTCTTAAAAGTGGCAGAATTAGGTAGTCAAAACAAAAAGGATATAAACAACTCTTGAGGGTTCACTGTACTAGTTATACAAAAAAAGTTGGCTTGCATTCTTTCCCGTCTCTCAATAAATAAGTGATGCCTGTTGCATATTACAGTGAAATCTCTTTGCTATATCTAATAAATGCCTTGTTGACCAATGTTGTTCAGTCAAGATGGCTCATTCTTTATAAATTGCAATTTTATGGACTTCAACTTTATCTTGGTCTACATCCAGCCACTTTGACCCCATGCTTGGTCTATAATGCATATTCATGATCCAAGAATATAAGCTGGGTTAGTATTATAGTTTATTATAATAGCACTTGCACCAAACTTCTTTATTTTGAACTAGATGCATGTCTTTCCAAACAAAAATACACCACTTATAACAATTTCCATTTTCATAGAAATGGTCCATATGGTAAAATTTTTACCATGAAAGAACCGATTAGAATGCTCAGATTTACCTAGTAAGCACTACTCAGTCCTAAAGTAAGCCTCAAAATTCTGATTGCTTCTTGCATGGTTGGGATTTTTCAATGTCTTCCCAGACAAAAGGAAAACGTTACAATATAAAAATGAAAAATGTGATACGAAACAAAACATTTTAGCACCCCTCACCTCCTTTTCCATCATCTTCACACATCTCAGCCCAAGCATGAAACACCATGATATATTGGTTATCATTCAGCATTGCAATGAAAAGGGATGCAATCAAAGCGTTCTCACGGAATTCACCTGGAACACTGAAATATTCTGGTTGTAAGGAGATATCAACAGTGAACTCATAGTTTCCTCTGTCTGTCTCAAACAAATGGAATGCTCTGACATACTCTGGCTCTATGAGTTTGGCAATTTTCTCCATCCTGGACATAAAGAGTTCATAAAAGCGTCCTTTTGCTTCCAGGTAAGGAGCAACAAAATCCTCATGATTCTTGATACTTTCAGCATACTTCCGTAGAATAGGGTGAATGTCATATTTCCTTTCTTTAGCTTCCTCGTCAACAACAGAAATTATTTGTCTTGCTGCAAGACCCTCTAGCTGAACTATGGCCTCTGTTGGGTCAATACCAAGAACTTTGGCAGCTGTTGATACAGAGAAAGGCCCATGGAACAAGGAAATCACTACTGCAGATAGCTTTAGTCTTTCTGTGGAAAGTGTATT